GGTTATCCACCTTAATCTCCAATTAATTCCTGCCCTTTTTCATTTCAGAAGGAAAACAACTCGCAATAGGACAGTAAGACTGAAGATGGGTTGTAGGCTGCTCTACATTTAGCTCCTCACCCATTATGTGGAGGGCATCCTCACTCTGACCACCCTGAGTGGCTGACTGACTGACTGACTGTGACTAAGTAACTGGGCAGGTATCAGAGGCTGCCTTTGACTTACTGTGCCAGGATCTGCTGAGTAAAGGCTACCTCCCTTGATATGGCTGATAACCATGGCAGGCTTCTTGGCTTTATGTGTGCACTAAACAGTAAGGTATAGCAGAAGTAATGTTAGCCTGCTATCTCTGGTTGAATGCAAGAAAGCAAGGCAGGGATGCTCTGAGCATCCAGCTAAGTTAGGAGTGAGCGCTATGGCAGTGAGTGAAGAGCTAGGAGATGCAGTTTGATCTACTCTGTGAGCTGGCTGTATGTCCTTGGGCACTCAATATCAATGAATCGCAATGATAGTTGCAGGTGCAGCATTAAGTTACAGAAGCAAGCTGTAAGTGGATTGGAGATATACCAAAGGGTCCTTCGAGGCATGCACACATCAGATCCCAATGTTCCTGGATGTTGGGTGCATGTAGCTGGTGCCCATGAAGCTTGGCCTGAGATGTTGGCATTGGGGTCCAATGTGGGGGTCCTTGGAGTAATCATTGGACTGCAGTCATCAGGTACTCACTCTGACTTTCACACTGGAAATTATCCACATTTAGCTTGCTCAGTGTATTTGGTAAGCTAGGAAGTTGAATACTAACAGGGTGAGTCATGCCATTAAGAAGGCATTTGACAAGCTATAATCCCCCCTAATTGGTAACTCCCTGCTGCTTAGTGAGAAGCTCGCCTAACTGCTCATCAAATGTATAAAAGATAAAACAAGTTGCTCCCAACATGGAGGTAGGCTTCTCGCTAGATTCTGCCCCATATCTTGCCATAAGCCCACTTTGTTCAGGCCCAAATAAGATTCTGCTATTGTTTTATTCTGCGAGTGATCTGGAATGCATTGCATAAGTGAGTAATGGAAGCAGATCTAATGGTCATATTCAAAGGAAAATTGCATAGATATCTGAAGAAAAAGTTGCAGGGCATTTAATGGGGTTTGCAAAACTAAGCCTATTTTTAAAATAAGTTTTCCATCATACACGTGATTAATTAATGTTTTATTAAATAATGCTCATTGCGGTAGAACTGTTGACTTAACTGCTGTTTATCAAGTTAATGAATTAAACTGCCTTCTAATAAAACTCCACCTTTCTTACGAAGGGCCTGTTAAGTTAAAATACTTGTTAAAATTATTTGTTTAAGCCCCTTTCAGCTTCTGGATGTCTTCCATCTCATATACATGAAATTCTTCAATTTTGTTTTGTTTCCTTTTGGGAAAAAGAATGGCAGTGAAGTGGTAAGTGGTTTGGATGCCAAGTGAGGTGTGGCTGTAATAGGTGAATGATATCTGGAATTTTATGGTGGATAAACCGTGGCTCAATACTTTCCATTTGTGAATGAACAGGGAGAAAAGGAATAAGACTGAAGATTCTCACTGAAGGAACTTGGTATGAGGATTCTTGCACAGAATGCTTCAGGTGTCTGTTGGGGTGTAGACTAGAAAATAATTGGTTTTTCACAATGAAGGATGTGAAACATTCTGGGGATCTGAGGATCTGCAGATTACAGGTAAGAGATCCAGCACAGGCTTTGAAGATCGAATAGCCTCCCACTACAGTGTTATTTCTGTCGTTTTTGGAAATCTTGCTGTTACCAAATCTTAACCCTAGAGTGTAGTATATACATATTGATATTGAGCTGAGTTTAAGATAAGGTGAGCAGCATCTGAAACATTGAACACACAGCCCTATCTCCAAATTTGCATTTTGGTTCAGAACATAAGGAATGGGAGATGGAGTAGTCTTTTGAGTCCATTTCGTCATTCGACATTCGTTCATGGCTGATCAACTTGAACTTCATCTTTCTGCACTCACTTAATTTCACTTCCTTCTCTTAGCACTTAAAAATCAATCAATGACTGTCTTGAAAATACTTGATGACTGAGGATCCACAGTTCTCTGGGCAGAGAAATCTAAGGATTCGCAACCCAAAGTGAAGAAATCTTTCTCCGTCTCAGTCCTAAAACGGTAATCTCTTCTTCTGAGAATAAGTTCAGGTTGACCTGGGCTGAATGGCTTTAATGTGTGAAATCCAAATACGGAACTGATTGAGGTTCAGAATTCAGGTATGTCTCCTCACAGCCTGAGTCCAAGCCACTGCACAAAGGTATCAGAAGGGAGTTGAGGCCTATGGAAAATGATATTGCCTGATAAGTTAGCTTGCACCTTGAGCAGGGGCTTCTGACCGTAGTTCCAGAGTAAACATCAATGGATTATAGGATTGCCATGAATTACAGTTGAGATATCAGGTATTACAACCATAATTAGCAATCACGTGCAGGTTGTCGGTGAATTATTATTTGACTGTTTATAATATATTGACTGTAACCAGCATTAGTTTTTGATTAAATTTTGTGAGTTATTATTAGCTATTGATGAAATCAGAGATTGTGCCATTCCCTGCAGCATCTTGTTTTTTACTTTGAGAATCCCAGCCCCACCTTTAGCTTCCTTTCTTCCCAAACATCAATTTTTCATCACCTACTTGCTGCTGAAATTCTTGTTCTTGGAACTCATTGCACAGCCACTGCTGGTAAAATCAAAACAAAGATATTCAACTCAGAAATGTTTTGCAAGATGGGATATAGGCGTTGTCAACTATGACTTGCTTTTCTTGTCGATCAAACATTTATTTGGATCACCACACAGGAGCTATGACTATCCTAGCCTATGGAGATGGATGTGGGTTCTTATTGCAATATGTGATGAGCTTTAGACACTGGGAAATCATCAACCTGCCAGTACAATTTTCATCTATACTCTAGTATTCCCACTCACATTCTTTAGTTTCTTTAGTTACACCATGATCCAGAGGTGTTTGAATAACCATCAGATACTATCCATGTTAAAACTGAAGTGAAAGTGGTTAGTTTAGCGATTATTAGATTCTCAACTCTGCTTTCAAATCCCACATGGCCTCATCCTTTCTTTGTCTCTAATCTCCTCCAGTTCCACAACTGTTTGAGATATCTCTACTCTGCTGTGGACACATGAGCGCCCTCAATCTTACTTGCTGCACCATTGATGGCTATGTCTTCAGGTGCCAAGCCCCTTTGCAACCTTCCTAAACTCTATCCCTCTCTTCCTGCCTTTACAACCTACATTTTGACAAAACCTTTGATTATCTAATGTATGATTCAGTGTCAAATTTTCAGTGCCTTGGGACATTTTATTAAGTTAATGCTCCCATTCCAGAGACTTGAATACAAGATCCAGATTTGCAATGCACTGCAGTACCCAGGGAGTGCTGTGCTGCCAGAGTGCAATATTTCAGATTAGATATTAAACTAATGTCCCATCTACTTTCAAAGTTGGCTATTAAAGATATTATGGCACAATTTTGGAGAAGATCAAAGAAATATACTTGGCATCCTGACCAACTTATTCCTCAATTAACACACAACAACAAATTTTCTGATCATTATCACCCTTTGTAGAGATTCACAGAGCTCAAATTTGCATAAATCATTACAACGGTGACTACATGTCAAGTGTATACTGTATTGGCTACAAAATAGCTTGGGATGGCCTGAAACTGTGAAAGGTGTTATATAACTACAAGTCATTTTTAATATAAATGCAGATTTTTCTGAAGCATTGTAAATATCGACATGTTCAATAACAGTGGTAAAATCACTCCAAAGTCTACTTTTATTTAGGTTAAAAATAATACAGTGTACAAGAGACTTTCAACATTAACCAGTTAACTATTGGTGTACTCAAACATATTTTTCAAACTGTGCTGGCTAATTGATAACTTTTATTTTTATGACTACTATTGAAACAGCTACAAAGTTGATTTCTTTTTTAAAAACTACCCAGACTTCAATGCTTTTCCTTTTCAAATAACTTGAAGTTCTGTCTTTTTTTCCTGACAGCAACACCTTTGTAGAATTTATGAATAATTTTCCCGAATGTTGATCTGCAGCAGATGAACAAAAGGAAGCCCTGTGTGACTGTGAAGCTAATTCAATATGAAGCCATAAATTATGTAAATCTGCATTTAGACAGAGGGAACAATGGGTACGTTTTCAGTCCAGTTGGCATCTTTTACAAAATCACCAACAATAGCAAAAGCTGGGCTTAAGACTAAGCGAAGCTGGGATCATCATTTGTGTTCTAAAGTTTGTTCGAAGTCTTAATAAGTTATTATTCATTTCTTAATCCACAGATAGAGTCAGTTAAAAAAACTTTCAAATTTAAAATCGAAACTTTTGATGTGTATTTTTGAATTTTTTCAGCATTACTGTCCAAAATGGGTCCGGTGGAAATCTGAGGTATTGATGACATTTCTTGACTCGCTACTAATTTTCAGTTAACTCTAGCATGGTATGTGTACATTCCTTTTAGACTTTAAAATAAAATACTGTGGATCAGGCTTTGTTGCCAACCTTTGAGCCAAACCTCATGTTTTTACTGTAAAGGGGACATTTTTGAGCATGACACTAGCAGCTGTTGCTTTGGCAAGGCCTACAAAATGTGGGTGCTGATGGCTATTTCATAATCTATTGAATGCAGTTCTTAGGTGCATATATCAATGATACATACTCTATCCATTTCAGTCTTCACAATTCCTTACTGCCATTGTTGAATTTCAGTCCATTTTCATTTATTCTCTCAATTACATATCTTTCAGTATCATCCTGTTATGCACAGTGAAATAACCTGCCTGTCTGAAATCCCATTGTATAAAAGTAATCCACTGCCTGCCTTGTCTCAACAATTTTTTGCCAAACATCTCATTTTTTTAAAATTTACTGAGATGGATTGTATCATTTTATATTGTATTTATTTGTTATTTTTTAAAATTTTTGCCAAATTTGTCACTGAGTTGCTGAATGAGTTCTGCTAACTCCCCTGTTGCTTGTGACTTTTCTTCCAGGAGTTCATAACGAAGACTGGAAATGTCCTGTTTGATTTCCTTAAGTTCCCCTGAAATACAAGTACAAATGTTAGGAAGTGAGGTTTTGGAAAATGCAATTGTATATTAAAAAAAATGCACATACATAAAATGCAACTCCTATTGACGCCTTAAATTCAGTTGAAGTGAAATTTCTGTTACTTTAGTGTCATTTAGTAGGATTAAAAGAGGTCATTTTATGGCTGTTCTGTCAGTTGTTTGAATTACATTGTGATTGGACAAGGCTCCCCATAGGCAGCTCCCGATACAGTTGGTTGACTTTGAGATATTTGATTTATACCAAAAACTTGACTCCATTATAAAATCATTTAAAACCAGCTCCACAAGAAATGAGAAGAAATATTTTACATTTGTAGACTTTCAGGTTCTAAGAGATAATCATTCTTTGTTGAATTGATTCTTGTGTCTGTTGCCTATGTCTGTGCAGATGTCAAATGAGTTTCAGGGAATAAACAGGCATTTTAATGCTCAACCTATGCATCACTGGATGTGCATCTATTTATAGGATTTCCCAAAGTGGGGTTTGGGATTGCGTAGTGAGCTGAAAGTCTGTGAACCCTGAGGCAGCAATGACAACTGCGAAACCCTGACTGACTAAGAGCAACTATGCTCTCCCAGTAGCAGACTCCCAATTTCACAGCTCCCACACCCCCCATGCCAACCCACCTTGCTCCTGCTGAGGAGTCCCAGCAATTTCAAGCCTCAAAATGGTGTCAGAAGAGACAAAAGTTTGGGGAGCCCTGATCGACTAGAAATTGTCTCTTTCGTTCTTTTATTTGGTCATGAGATGTGGGTGACTCTGGCTAGGTCATCATATATTGCCCATCCCTACAAAGCCCTGGAAAATATGGTAATGAGCAGCCTTCCTGAACCGATGCTATCTTTGGGGTGTAGGGACACCTCAGGAGGTGGCCAAGATGAATTATCCACTTGGGATTTAAAGATGAATGCAAATGCTTTTGCCTTGTTTTTGAACTGAAGTGCTGGGCTCACCCATCATTGAGGTTGGAGACATTTGGAGCTTCCACTGCCTATTAGTAGCTTAATTGTCCACCCCCATTCACAGCTGGATGTAGCAGAACTGTGGAGCATAGATCTGATCTGTTAGTTGTAGCTTGACTAACCCTGTCTATTGCATGCTGTTGCCATTATTTGGCATTGCAAGGAGTCCTGTGTTATAGCTTCATCAGGTTGACAGGATATTTTTAGGTATGATTGGTGCTGGCCCTGGAATGCCGCCCTGCACTCTTCACTGATGCAGGGTTTATCTCCCAGCTAATGGTAAAATAGGGGACATTTAGGGACAACATGACAATATAAGGGAGGGCATCCTAAATACGAAGCCACGACTTGATCTCCACAAGAATTCTGTGGTAGTTACTTCTACTGATTGTGTCCTGAACAGATGTATCTACCTCAGGTAGATTGGTGAGGGTGGGGTAAAATAAATTATTCCCTCTTGTGCATTGCCTCAAATGCATACCTGTATATATCTACCATAAACTGGCCCTTTTTTTTGGAGTTGCTTTACAAACTGGAAGACTAAAGCAAGCAGCCAGACTATGAAGCATTATAGTGCATATAGAACTACTTGCCTTCATTGACTTCATCATTTCCTCTGTCAACCTGTGCTTTGAGCACATATCGCTTTATTAATCGTTTCATAATCCTCTGCAAAATGTCAAAGAAAATATTTTTAGCATATACCAGGCAACAATACTAGTTCCTAGGAATGTACATCTATAGATCTGCCAATGCTTGGCATGTTATTGCCCTGATCAAGGTACGTTTGATAAATACTTGATTATAATTTCTGACAACACTGATCTGCATTCTTTATCTACAATGCAAAGTTGAACTCTATGCATGCCCTGACACTCCTGGAATATCTTAGCTGAGATGGTTTGTTAATATCTTCATGAAACATTAAGGTCTTACATAAAGTACCGATTAAAAAAAATTCGATTGATGCAGTAGACTAGAACACTTTTTGACTTAGCAGCCAAACTTTGAATCTAGCTAGGTTGAAGGATTAAAATGCTGTCCAACAATAAAATCTAAGGGGATCATATGGTAAATGAGAATCAAAATATAGCAGATGCTGGAAATCTCAAATAAAAACATAGAATGCATGACCTGGCAGCATCCGTAGAGAGAAACAGAGTTAACATTTCAGGTCATGATCTTAGATCAGTACTGATGGAAGGTTACAACCTGAATTGATAATTCCATTTCATTCTGCAAATGCAACCAGAATTGCTCAGTATATTTGTAGCATTTTATAACTTTATGCCAAATGAGATATCTCCTGGACTTGGGCATGCAATGCAAAATTGACCATTATATGATCAAGATTGACCATTTCACATCAGGGTAGATTGTAAGAAATCGAGAGCTCCCCTTGTGCAAAAAGGGATGCTATCTTGAATTTGAGCTGAGTCGATAGAACCTTCCTTTGTTGCATTTGACTTGAAAGTGTTTTATGCTTGCATGGACAGTCAAAATTGGGAAAAGCTTTACATTTTCAAATCTGATACCTCGATGAGCATAAAAGTTCAAAATGTTTTTTATAATCATGAAGACTAAATGAAGTAATCATACCTCATTGTGAGCAAGAGACACAGCCAGGGACTGCCCACTTGGTAATTGGTGCTATGGGAGCACTGAATCATATCATTAGTCACTATAGGTGGAATCTTACAGGAGACTGAGCAATGTAGGCTTTGGTGGGATTTGAGGCAAAATTGGATGAGAGATTCAGAGGCCTCCATTTTAATGTTGGGAGCAACTCGCTCTATCATTTATGTGTTTGACAAACGGCACAGCGAGTTTTTTGATAGGCAAGGTAAGTTGACAGTTGTCTCTTGTTAAATACTGTGTAGACAGCACAACTCAATTTATTAATATTCAGCTTTCTATCTTACTAAATTCACCAAAATAGCTGAATGTCAAGAAAACTTATCATGCAAACTAGAGTGGGTACCTGGTGGACTTGGCTTGAGGCTTGCTCCAAAGGACTCCATGCTGTGCATGACTAAATTGCAGCTCAGGGCATGTTCCACAGACAGCAGCCACATGTACCCCCTCATTCATGGAAATTTGCCAACTCCTCATGTCACCTCTTCGATACACTGGCGGTCCACTGAGGAAGCACAAACCTACATTGCAGGGCGCACTAACAGCTAGCTAAAAAGCTGTCGCAGGGTGGTTTTGCATACAGGGAGAGGCATTCGGCTCGCGGATTGGACCAGCCTGAATCTCAGGGCTGCTCACTTGCTATCTGAGCGCCTGCTCACTTAGCACCTACCATTGATTTGATTTAATTTGATTTGATTTGATTTATTATTGTCACATGTAACGAGATATAGTGAAATAGAAAAGAATGCAGAATATAATGTTACAGTTACATTTACATGCCACAGCACCCTTGCTTTGCATTGCCTTGCTGCGCCTATTAACATATCAGCAGAGTGAAAGGTTATTAGTACAGCCGTATTGGGGTGCTCTTCAGCACAGACACAAAGGCTGTTTTTGATGCTTGTCAGTAGGTATCTGTTTGTGGGGCTATTGGAACATCTTGATTTATGGCACACTGTGACATCATTCTAACACCAATAGCATGTGCCAGCTGCCTGTGTGGCAAACACACTGAACGTTGTTCAATCAAATAGAAACTAGTAGGGGCTAGTCCTCTGTCCAGTTTGGAGGGTGGGGTGCAGACATTAGACGGGGTCTGCCGGTACCATTAGTCAGGGCACAGTCTGCATACAGTCCAGGGACTTGGTCATATTCAAGGGATCTGTCCCAGCACAGTCTGGTGTATAGGAAACAGTCGGTCTTCTGGGGCTACCACAGGCAGTCAGGGGAATGGTGTCTTGTCAGTCAGGAAGCTCAGGTGGCTGGTCAATCATGACTCAGAGCTGCTTGTCAAACTCAGTCAGAGGTCGGGTGAATACGGTCCTGGGGTTCCATCTGGTGATTATTCAGAAGGGTGCAGGCAGCATGTAGAGGCAAAGGGGGGATTACTGCCAAAAGGCATGGGGAGTCAGTCCTGTGGGGGAGAAAGCAGAGGCATTTGCAGAGGTGGGGAACAAAGACAGTGATGAGGGAAAACTCGATCTGAAGGGGCACTATGTGGAAAACCATCTGAGCATTTGGTAGGCTACTGGAAGGGGGTGGGTGGCAGTAAGCCTCTGTGGAGGAGCTCAGTGAGCATCGTTAATGTGTAATGTCCTGGGTTCGGGGACAAGGAACACAGTTTTACTTTAAAGAACAGAGAGACTAAGTGGGGAGGGTGGGATATCTGGCTTTCAGGTGGGACCTGATGCTGACAGTGTCCACCTCAAGCTGTGTTCCCTGCCATCACTTTCTGTTCTGTAGGTGCGAAGTGCTACTGCAAAATGACTGGCATCATGCCCAAGTTATGAGGAGTCAGGGTCGCTTTGACGGGTGGAAGCATGGGATCCATTGTCTGCTGGATGAAAGGATGTTGAAGCAGCAAACACTTGAAGCAGTCATTTTAATATGTAATCATTTCATCACCCATTTGTTATGCATATAGTTTGAAGGTCAGATGCTGGTCAAAAGTGATTTGCAATATGCAATTGGTGCTTGCAAATTGAACTTGGGAAGTCAGCAATAATGATACTACAAAAATCTGAAGGCAGGCTATGAGCCATGCAATTTCCAAGGGTTCTGTGTGAGCCACACAGCATCACTTCCTCATCTGTCATGTAAGTATAATGATAGTCTGTACTGAATCAGTGTTTGATGTGAGTCCAAGATTGGTAGTGTGTCAGAGTATGGCTGGGACTCGCTTTCTCAATATCATTGGGCGGTCATTCAGCTGGCACAGCACCTTCAGTAAGTTGCTGTGGAGGTTGAGCCAAAATGTGCATAGATGATTGGGACAGATCCCTCGTTATCAGCATTCCTCACTATGTGGAGGAGTGCGCTCAGCTCTCATTTTCAGAGTATGCCACTGAAAACTGTTCTGGCATCCCTATTGCTCCTTCTGTGCTCAATGGCAGTCATTCCCACCTGTGTCCTGTACCCTGCTGCAGGTGGCAAGTTGCTCTCTGTGCCTGCCTATCTAAAAAGGTGAAAGTGGATGGAGGAGGTCAAGGGCCAACAACAAGCCCAGGAGAAGCAACAAGCCAGTGTGGAGAATGAGGAGCCCCCAGGTCAGAGAGATATTGCTGTTGCAGGACCCCTCAGGATGCATGGGGTGTACAGGAGATGCAAAGCTTTCCAGCCCTGAATCCAGTTCCTGGGGATGAGCAAGGTGCAATTATTGAAGCATGCTCTGCATGTCCCAGGACACCCTGATGGAACTGTGCTGGATGCTGAAACAGGACCTGAGGGCTACAGGAATCGGAGGCTATTCACTCCCTGTGGTTGTGAAAGTGACAGCCACTCTGAACTTCTAAGCCCCCTCCAGGGATTGGTTGTTGACCTGTGTGTGACCTCAGTCATGCACCTACAATCCATCAGGACAGTGACTGCTGCCAGCTTTGCAAGGTCACTTTGTTTAGCCATGGTGAGGCCAGTGCTACAGCCTGGCCAATAGGATTTGGGAACATGGCTGGGTTATCCTAGATGCAGCTGGGTGAACTGCACTGTGTGGCACTGAGAGGGCTGTATCACAACTCTACAGATTTCACCAGCAGAAAGAGGTTCCATTCCATGAATGTTCAGGTCATCAGTGATCACTCATACCACCTCCTGGAAGGGTGTGCCCACTACCCTGGCAGCAGCCATGGCTCCTATATCCTGGAGCAATCTCTTATTCCTGTTGTGTTTGAGGGTCCAGGTGCCTTACAAACCTGGTTCCTGGGGAAAAATGCCTATCTACTGTGACCATGGCTCATGACACCAATGCACAAACCCCTGTTGTTCATGCAGTGCAGGAACAGTGCTGCCTGTGCCTCAATCAGGACCATGGTGGAGCAGACAATGGGGCTGCTGAAGATGTATTTTCATGGTTTAGACTGGTCTTGGGGGAGCCCTCTAGTATAGTCCAGACAGTGTGTGCTGCATCATCCTAGTGGCTGTGCGTAATTGGAGTAGGTAACAAGGCAATGTTCTGGATGCGGAGGAACTGGGTGGGGGGGGAGGTTTCTGCATTAGTCTTCCCAGGAGGAGGATGAGGACATTGGAAAGCAGGAAGCTGTCCTTGTCCATGACAGAACTCAGCTGCATTTGGCGATACAAGACAGAGAGAACCTCATTGACAGCCATTTTCAATCAATGATAGCTGGGTGCGGTGGACCATCATGGATTGTAAAAGATTTCTCGGTCATGATACACAGATCTGATTTGCATTGTTGGGGTGAACTACAGTCTGAATTGGTTTTGTTTGCATTCGATTTGCAAAAGATAACCCAGGAAACTACAGACCTGTCAGTTTGACATCAATTGTGGGAAACTGATAGAGGCCATAATAAGGGATAAGATAATATACACTTAAAGAAAAGTAAGCTAACACTAGACAGACAACATGGTGTTATCAAGGGTAGGTCATGTCTGACAAATTTAGTTGTGTTCTTAGACGAGGTGACACAGGCGAGGGTAGTACTGTGGATACTGTATATTTGGACTTTCAGAAAGCATTTGATATGGTGTCACATGGCAGGTTGGTTAGAAAATTAGAAATGTTTGGGATTGATGGGTCTTTGGCAGTTTGGATTCGAAGTTGGCAGAAGATGAGAAACAGTCACTATGTATAGATGGGCATTTCTTAGTCTGGATGTGAGATGAAAGTGATGTTCCCCAGGGATTGGTGTTGGGACCTTTGCTTTTTCTGATTTATATAAATCATTTGGAGATGGATATTAAGGTCAAAATCTTTAAATTTGCAGATGATAATAAGCTAGGGAATAATGAATTGTGAAGATGATGCTGAGTGACTTCAGAGGGGCATTAACAAATTGGCCAAATGGGCAGACACCTGGTGCAGGGAAATGTGAGATCATGCATTTTTTAGAAGAAATACTGAAAGACAATACAGGGTCCATGGTACAACTTTGAGAGGAGTATAGTAGCAGAGGGACCTTGCAGTTCAAGCACATAATTCTCTGAAGGTGGCCAGGCAAGTTCAAACAGATGTTAGAAAGGCATATAGGATCCTTGGGTTTATAAATAGAGGCATAAAGCATAAAAACAAGGAAGTGATGCTACACCTGTATAAATCATTGGTCAGACCACATTTGGCGTATTGTGTTTAGTTCTGGGCAACTTTATTTAAGGAATAATGTTAAAGCCCTGGAGAGAGTTCATAGGAGATTTACTGTAGGACATTCTTCAGCACCACCAGTAACAGATTAACCAGTTGTGCATCTAATTACTGTTTGTGGAATCCTATTTTGCAGCTGCATTTGCCAAAACAACCACCATTACTTTACTTCAGAGTTCCTGTATGTATCTTAAGCACTTTGAGACTATGTGGTGTAAGAAGGCATTAAATACATGCAAGCAAGTATTTGTTTTAAAAATGAATGTACTGCTTTTGGCAAACCCAAGCAAGACCATTATGATTTATAATTTGATTTATGCATAAAACACAAAAGATTGTGCTTTAGATGTTTTTAATGAGTTCAAAATATTTGGTTTGTATTATTGTATTTTCTGCAATGAAGTGTGAAATGCAATCTAATATCTCCCTCTGGAGGAAGTTATGCACACTGTCACACTGTTGGCTAAATCTATAGTACAACCTGTGTAGGTAACTAACCTGATATCTCGTCGGATTGCTAATTGGCTTTTTCAGACCACAACCTTCTGAACCTCTAGGATTAGATTTATAGTGGTGATCTGGCTGGAACGGAATTGAATGTAGGTTTATTTTGTAATGATAATACTTTGCTTATAACCAAATTTCTATATTTCAAAGAAAAAAAACAATTAGTTGGCTGTTAAGAACTTTTAGATCCTTAGTTGCATGATAAAACACCATAAAACTATGAGTTCTGTATAATTAGTTTAAAATAGAAAATTGGAAGTAGGTTTTCAATTAAAACATTCTGCAATTAATAAGAATAATATCAAATTTGTGAAAATGAGACTGGAAAGCAAACATTTTCCATTATTTACAAATACATAAAATTTGCAAACACTACCTTAGAATTCAGCATGCCCATTTCAAGGTCACCCTCAGATTTTTGCACCTTGGATTTACACAAATTTACAAGGCAGGTTTTTATTTTTGATATTAAGTAGTAAATGGATTTTGGGCTTGGTATAAGGTTGAATGGTGCAGGCAAGGTTCTCCCTTCATCAAAGTAAGATAGCCAGAGCTTAGCTCGAGCAAATTTCCACTCAACATCTGCATCCTCCTGTGTGAAGAAAAGAAATGGCAGGTTAAGTATTCTGCAGTTAAATTGTGAATGAGATGGTGAATTGGACATACTATTTCTCAACTTTACTACAACTATATACATTACAGCTCTAGTTTTGATGAATAAACAGTGCAAAACATAATCACCAGCTGTGTAGTTTCATCTTGTTTTTCATACTTCATTTCAAGCCGTACGACCCAGTCTATTTTTGGCTTCGATGTGCCACATATAATTCTATGTACAATTCTAACCTCAACATGATCATACTCGCAGAAAACTAAGCAAAAACAATGTTTTATCCAGGGAACCATTGAATATGAAGCTAATTTTAAATTAATTGTATGTCTCTGACTAATTATGCAAGATGTTGTAAGGATTCTCTGTTTGGATACAGGTTATATGAAAACCTTGAGTTCTTTGTGTTGTAAGCTAACTCACTCACCTCTTACCTGAAATATTGACTGAATCATTATTGTGCACCCATTTTCTTTTACTGTAGTTTGACTGGTTTTCCCATTCAACAAGTGAGATTTTCAAGTATGTGAACCAGCTAATTTTCATCATGAAAGAATTTGATTCATGGTAATTGACAGAACGATTTGCAATCTTAGTTTTTTTTAGAAATGGACCTTATGTCTTCTTTTAGTATGCTCCGTCTTGTGCCTTAAAATGTGAAAAGTAAATCAAATTTGAAATAACTGCACAAAGGCCAGTATCCCACCAACAAGTCACTCTTTATTTACTTGTGCACAGTACACTGGCTGTGACCATCCAGCTCGGAGTCAGTCCCCTGAACTGAGGAGATTCTGATCTCCTGTTTATATTGGTCAGCCAGGGCTTTCCTGATTGGGCTTGTTAACCTGAGCCAAATCAAGGGCCTCATAGTCAACGAGGTCCACCTGGGTCCATCACTTCATCCCTACACCCTTAGTCCAGGGATGTAGGCCTGGCCTTTCTTTTGTAGCTTTACCCGGGACATTTTCGCCCCAGGTCTAGTTCCTCTGAATTGGACTCTGACACGAGCGGCGTGTAATGTCTCTTGCGTCTCGGGAGAGTTTCCTCCTCTTCTTCTGGTGGTTATGGTGTCGAGGCTGCATCCATCTCGGATTCTGAGGTTTCCTTGACGCTATACGGATAGGGAGAACCTACGGTTTTTGACAGGCCTTCTGGCTGTTCTAAGGAGCCAGGTGTGTTTTGTTCCTGTCCCATTTGTGAGGTAACAGCTTTCAGGTGATCCAGGTGTTTGTTCAGAACTGTATCACCTCACCCAAATTGTGTAAGTCACGGGACCTGACCTCGCGTCAACCTCGCCTTGTACCCATTCATCCACTAAATTAAATTGTATCTCTCACTTAGAGGAGGCCTGTGGCCAGCATTGGCGTTCCTGCTGCTGTTTCACATCCCCCTCCCCCGCCCCCGGGAAGATCAGGTTTAACCTGGTGTGGTGTCTTCACCCCAGCACCAAATCAGCTGGAGCTATTCTTGATGAGTGTGCGGGGCAGTCCTATAATCAAACAGGGACTGGAGCAGTTTGATATCAAGTGACACTGTGGGCTACTTCTTTAAGCCTGCCTTCAAAATTTGGACTGCCCTTTCCACTAGACCATTGGGCGATGGATGGTATGGAGCTGTCCTTATCTGTCGCATGCCATACGACTTTAGGAAATATTTGAATTCCCTGCAGGTAAATGACTTCCCATTGTCCATGACCAATACTTCTGGGAGTCCATGTATCACGAACGATGCTCGCAGCTTCTCAATCATTATTTCTGAGTTTGCCGAATGAACTTTATACACATCCAGCCGCTTTGAATGACCAGGTCTACAATGACCAGGAACATTGAGCCCACGAAAGGACTGGCATAGTTGACATGCAACTGAGTCCAGGGTTTACGTGGCCATTCCCAAAAAATGTGGGGTGATGCTGGTGGCAATTATTGTTCTTGTTGGCACTCTGGGCACTGCCCCACCAACACAGCTATGGCAGCATCCAACCCTGGCCACTAGATACAGCTTCTTGCTAGCGTCTTCATCTTGGAAACTCCTGGATGAGCCTGGCAGAGTTCAGCCAGTATCTGGCAGCGACCTTCACTCTGGACACTCACCCTTACTTCCAACAATAATATGCTGTCTTCTATGGTGATCTAGTCTCGCGGGTCCAGAAAGGTTTCAATCTGGGGTGGTTCTTCTGTTTCCCCCATTACCACCAGCTGTTTGTTTCACTAGGACAGGACCTTTTTGTGTCCATGGTTGAATATTGTCAGCAGTGACTGGAAAGGTGTCCAGGAAGTTTAAAACCAAAATGGGCTCCTTTAGGGGAGTCACCACTGGTGGAGTATCTGCCAGTGGGAGGTATCCAAAGGCATCCGTATTAGCCACTTGGCTTCCTGGACGGTGTTCTAACTCGTATGTGCTGAGAATAAGTGCCAAATTCTACCGGATGCTATGGGCGGCACTGCCTTGTCTTCCTTCAGTGGCCCTAGCAAGGGTTTGTGATCTGTTACTGTGACAAATTCCCATCTGTAAAGGTACTGAAGGAACACCCCACACTGAAGATGACCGCCAAACCTTCCTTTTCTATCTGGGCTGATTTGTGTTCAGCATCAGCCAAAGTCTGGGAAGCATACGCTCTTGGATGTTCCTCACTGGTGAGCCAACCCTACTTTGATACTGTACGGAGAGGCATTACATGTCAGCACTACCTTTCGCTTTGGATCGTAGTGGGCCAGTACCTTAGATGTCTATTGCTGCTGTTTCACGTGCCTAAAGGCTACTTCTTGGCTACGTGCCCATTTCCAATGTTGATCCTTTTTCAATAGCAAGTGAAAGGGTACCAAGATTGAGGCCAGGTTACATATTAATTTTCTGTAATAATTCACTAACCCAATGTAAGACCTAAACTTCGGTACAGATGTGGGAGCCAGGGCACCTTTGATTGCCCTCACTTTGTTCTCCAACGGGTGTAACCTGGTTTTGTTGACTCCGTAACCCAAGTAGGTCACTTGGTGACTGGAACACACATTTTTACCTTCTAAGGTGTACGGCAGCTTGGGATAAATGTTTAAGCACTACATACAAGTTCTCCAAGTGCTCTTTATTGGTTTTCCCCATTATTAGTACATCATCCAGATCAATGGCAACCTGGGGTAGCCCTTGTAAAATGTTCTCCATGGTCCACTGGAAAAGGGCACAGGCAGATGATACCCCAAATGCCAGTCTTGTATATTGGTATAAACCCTTATGGATATTAATTGTAACGTACTTCTGGGACTCCTCATCCAGTTGCAATTGCAGGCAGGCTCATAAAGGACAGGCTCATCAAGGTCCAGCTTCATAAAGGACACTGATTTGATGATTCCTTCACTCTCCAGCCTCCTGATTCCCACCCCTACTTTTGCCCACAAGGCAAATGGCACCGGGCGGGCCTTGCAAAATCGCTGAATTGCTTCCTGGTCAACATGTAAAGTGGCCTTTGATAGTCCCAAGCCCCTCCTGAAAAACTCCTGGGTAATTCACTAGGACTTCACTGAGGCAACCATTTTCTTAGTGAAAAATGTTGAGCCTGTCTAGGTGAATCTTTCTCAACCAACTCTACCTCAACAGACTTGGTCCTGAGCCTCTTACTACCATCAGTGGTAACTGCACCAACTGCTTCTCATTGGAGATCGGAACTGAAGTTGTACCCTTAATTTGCAATTGTTCCTCAGTGTATATTCTCAGTCTGGCTGACATCTTGTGCAAACTTAAGAGTTGGAGTCCTGAGTGAATTTTGTTAAAGACGGGCTGTGCAACCACAGATTCAGTTATGCTCTATTAACCTCCATGGGAACTGGGTGACCTTTTAAACAAACATTAATTTTAATTGGTTCCAATTTTCATGTTGCTAAGCTATTTAATTGTTCCAACCCACATGTAGGGGGACTTGACAGGATGTGCACTCTCCTGGATACCAGCCTCCAAGTTTTCTTACTCAAGTAAGGCCTTATGGACTCCTTTGCTGTCCTGAGTTCGCATACCAAGAGCAATTACAATGGCTTGCTGGCCCAGATCCTTAAGAACTTTTTAAGACACTTGGCTGAGGCTTGGCTTTGTTGTGTGGTTCTGTTTTGGCCTGTCCTAGGGTTCTTCTGCTCAGGATATGCCCTGCGTGAGGCTCTGCGAGTGCCGACATTCAAGTGGTGTTCCTCAAGCTCAGTAGGACAGGTGAGGGAATCTACTTCCATTGGGATGCCCTGTAGCTCCCATGCTCACTTCTCACATTTTTAAATGACAAAGCCAGTTGTAGTGTCTATTTGAAGTCTAGTTGGGCTTCAGCTAGAAGGCACTTCTGCATGGTAACGTAATTAATCCCACAAAATGAACGGTCTGTCAGCACCTCATTCATGGTTAACTCAAAATTACATGCCTCTGCCAGTCATCTTAACCTTGTCAAAAATCCCGATACGGATTCTCACGGTTCTCTAACAGCCAATAAAACCGATAGCATCTCAGAATTAGAGGAGTTTTGGATTTGTAATATTCCCTAACCAACTCCGTCAACTCTTGGAAGGTTTTAGTGTCTGGTGCCTCTGAGAAAGTTGAGCCCTTTGTAACCAAAAATATTGCAGGTCTGCAAGCAGTCAGAAGGATTACTCGTTACTTTTCATCTGCCCAATGTCATTAGCCCGGAAAAAAATATTGCATTCTGTCCTCAAACTGGGCCCGACCTTTGATGGCAGGATCAAATGACTGTGGCGAGCGAATGTTCTTCAGGCACATACTGTCCCACTCTCAATCACCAGGGTGGGGCTGCAGTGCCCAGGCTGAGGGGGAGGGGCTGCAGTGCCCAGGCTGAAGGGGAGGAGCTGCAGTGCCTAGGCTGAGGGGGAAGGGCTGCAGTGCCCAGGCTGAGAGAAAGGGGCTGCAGTGCTGGCATTGGGAGTCAAACGTGTGAATGAAGTGATGGGTGAGGTGTTCATAATTCAGCATTTTACTAATGAAGCTATAAACACCAAGGCCAGCACCAGCACCTCTGTTATTCCCAGATATAATTATCTTCATCAACACCGGCATATGAACAAAGTTGGGATGTTTTAGTCTGGATCAGCCACCTGCTGATTTCGATGACTAACTTGGGTGGGAAAGTTTCCTAAAATTCCCTAATTTGCTTTTGATCAGTCTGCTTGATGGGCGGAGACTTAATGTCTTTACGGTAATTGTTAATCCTGATGATTTTTTTCTTATTCTCAACTGATCTGTGTGTTCCCATCTTTTTGTTTGCAAATTGGGAAAGAACTAGCATAATGCTTATAATAATTTAATGCTTATAATAATTTAATGCTTCAGTTACACTTTATGTAACCTGTCCATGTACTGAATTGTGCACTGGGTACTGATTTAGAGTGCATGCACACTGATACTTTGAACTAAGTTTTTCAAACATTCTGTAACTTTGAAAATGTATTTTCTAAAGATAAATCTCTAAAATCATACCTCAATTTCTTGATATGAGCTGTTGATCATGGCTATTAGCATATTAAGCAGCACCACCACCATCGTAACATTGTACACTCCATACAGGATGTACCCTATGTTCTCAATAAACTTGTGATCGTACTTGAGGACAACAGATATCACTTCTGACAAGCCAAATATCGACCAGAATAAGGTTTTGAAACTCTCTTCAACGCTAAAAGAATGGAAGAGGATACTGAACAGATGATACAATATTAATTTAAATAATTTCAAAGATTGTCAATCGCTTTCATGACAATTTATCTTCTGCATTTAAAAGCAAGGTTGACTGCTATTTTTTGTTTAACAGAAGGACTCCACAATTTGAGAAGAAAGCATAACCTGTGCTATTTTGTAGTTAACAAAGTGTAGAGCTGGATGAACACAGCAGGCCAAGCAGCATCAGAATCAGGAAGGCTGACGTTTTGGGCCTAGACCCTTCTTCAGAAATGGGGGAGGGGAAGGGGGTTCTGAAATAAATAGGGAGAGAGGGGGAGGCAGATAGAAGATGGATAGAGGAGAGGATAGGTGGAGAGGAGACAGACAGGTCAAAGAGGCGGGGATGGAGCCAGTAGAGGTGAGTGTAGGTGTGGAGGTAGGGAGGAGATAGGTCAGTCCAGGGAGGACGGACAGGTCAAGGGGGCGGGATGAGGTTAGTAGGTAGGAGATGGGGGTGGGGCTTGGGGTGGGAGAAGGGGATAGGTAGGAGGAAGGACAGGTTAGGGAGGCGGGGATGAGCTGGGCTGGTTTTGAGATGCGATAGGGGGAGGGGAGATTTTGAAGCTTGTGAAGTCCACATTGATACCATTGGGCTGCAGGGTTCCCAAGCGGAATATGAGTTGCTGTTCCTGCAACCTTCGGGTGGCATCGTTGTGGCACTGCAGGAGGCCCAGGATGGACATGTCGTCTGAGGAATGGGAGGGGGAGTTGAAATGGTTCGCGACTGGGAGGTGCAGTTGTTTATTGCGAACCGAGCGTAGGTGTTCTGCAAAGTGGTCCCAAGCCTCCGCTTGGTTTCCCCGATGTAGAGGAGGCCACAACGGGAACAGCGGATGCAGTATACCACATTAGCAGATGTGCAGGTGAACATCTGCTTGATGTGGAAAGTCTTCTTGGGGCCTGGGATGGGGATGAGGTGTAGGGGCAAGTGTAACACTTCCTGCGGTTGCAGGGAAAAGTGCCGGGTGTGGTGGGGCTGGAGGGGAGTGTGGAGCAGACAGGGAGTCCCGGAAAGCAGATAAGGGTGGGGAGGGAAAAATGTCTTTGGTGGTAGGGTCGGATTGCAGATGGCGGAAGTGTCAGAGGATGATGCGTTGGATCTGGAGGTTGGTGGGGTGTTACGTGAGGATGAGGGGGATTCTGTTTTGGTTGTTATTGCAGGGAGGGGGTGTGAGGGATGAGTTGCAGGAAATGCGGGAGACACGGTCGAGGGCGTTCTCAACCACTGAGGGGGGGATGTTGTGGTCCTTGAAAAACGAGGACATCTGAGATGTACGGGAGTGGAATGCCTCATCCTGGGAGCAGATGCGGCGGAGGCAAAGGAATTGGGAATAGGTGATGGCATTTTTGCAGGAAGGTGGGTGGGAGGAGGTGTACTCTAGGTAGCTGTAGGAGTCGGTGGGCTTAAAATGGATATCGGTTTCTAGGTGGTTGCCGGAGATGGAGACAGAGAGGTCCAGGAAGGAGAGAGAGGTATCAGAGATGGTCCAGGTGAACTTAAGGTTGGGATGGAAGGTGTTGGTGAAGTGGATGAACTGTTCGAGCTCCTCGTGGGAGCACGCGGCGGCGCCGATACAGTCATCAATGTAACGGAGGAAGAGGTGGGGTTTAGGGCCAGTGTAGGTACGGAAGAGGGATTGTTCCACGTGACCTACAAAGAGGCAGGCATAACTTGGGCCCATGCTGGTACCCATGGCCACCCCCTTTGTCTGTAGGAAATGGGAGGAATTGAAAGAGAAGTTGTTGAGGGTGAGGACGAGTTCGGCTAAGCGGATGAGGGTGTCAGTGGAGGGGGACTGGTTGGGCCTGCGGGACAGGAAGAAGCGGAGGGCCTTCAGGCCATCTGTATGGGGAATGCAGGTGTATAGGGACTGGATGTCCATGGTAAAGGTGAGGTGTTGGAGACCAGGGAATTGGAAGTTCTGGAGGAGGTGGAGGGCGTGGGTGGTGTCATGGATGTAGGTAGGGAGTTCCTGGACCAAGGGGAAGAAAATGGAGTCGAGATAGGTGGAGGTAAGTTTGGTGGGACAGGAACAGGTGGGGACAATGGGTCGACCAGGGTAGTCAGGTTTGTGGATTTTGGGAAGGAGATAGAAGCGGGTGGTGTGGGATTGGGGAACAATGAGGTTGGAGGCCGTGGGTGGAAGGTCACCTGAGGTGATGAGGCTGTGGATGGTTTGGTGGTCGGGGGTGGGGTCATGATCAAGGGGGCGGTAGGAGGAGGTGTCAGAGAGTTGCTAACAAATAGCAATGTGTGACAATGTACAATATTGAAATAGAGCAGTTAGTAACATTGCTTGAGCAGACATTTGAATTACTTTAAGTTTCTGTTTTAATTGAAGGAAGAAAAAACTCATGAGGCTGACAGTTTAGTGTATGTACATTATATATCCCTATCTCAGGCTACTGGACACGACCCTGCCAAAGGTGTCAAGGTTGCAGGAGTTCTTTTATTTTTAATAGTGAATGTCCATATCAATAAAAGGCTCATCAATATGCTGAAGAAGACCAAGAGACCAAGACTAGGGCAGCAAATAGATCTTGATTCTTGAATGGACATCATCGTCTGCATTTCATGGAACATAGGATACTTGGGGACCATTTCAAAATGACAAGAAGGATGCGGATCTGGGTCTCCAGACTCTATTTCTGGCAGATCCTTTTTTTTTATTGGGGGCACTGTGTGACTGGATGGAGGAGGAAGGGTTGTGGGGAGGGAGCAGTGACATTGTGAGAAGCCCAAGCTCAGCAGGGTGATCTGAGCTCAGTGCTGACCAGACCGTATTTTCACAATAGAAAGGTTCTTATCTCACAGCATTGGGTTTATGATTGTTTAGAGAAATCGTAAACATTTTTGAAGGGTGAATAAGATCTGTAGAACTGTCAAGCTGTCAAATCAGTTGAATGGTCAGTCCTTTAAAAGATAATTCTCTGCCTATGTCTGTCAAAGTTAAAAATAAATTCAACATTCAATAACTGTTTGTTTATATAACCCTAAGTGCTATAATTATGGCATTATTAATAATTGGCAGCTTTTCACAACTTGTCATTACTACAGTAATAGGATGGTATTGTAAGTTAAGTTTGACTGACAGCTGAAAGAGATTACTAAATGATAAGTATCTTTGTGGTGTTATCAAAACAAACATGTTTGTTTTGATAAGGGATTGGGCACTTGAGGGGATTTAAGTATTTGAATGGACATTCGTGAATGCAGTTGTTTTATATAGTGAAGTCAGTTACAAATGCTTAGAATTGTATTGTAATTTTATTGCATCACAGCATGGCTCTGGAAATCTGTCCGTGCTGAATTTTGGATTAGTTGGCATGAAGTGTGTAAAAAGAAAAGAGTAATGTCTTTACTTGCATGAATTGTCATTAAGTTGACATGATCCATATGGGGCACTTTCCCAACTAGGCATGGTGAGTAAGGAATTACCAGACTTGGGAGTAAAAGTCCATGCCAGTGTATATTGTTTGGCAGGCCAGAATGCCAGCTTTCACTCAACTTCCTACAATGTTGGGGATAAAAGATTTCCACAGGAATTCCACAACCTCTATATTTGGTCAGAGAGAGGTGCAAACCTTAGAAGGACATTCAAAAACACAGACAGAAAGTTGAGATCCAGCTTTTGCCTAATTTGTGGGAAATCATTTGTACCCCTGCTGTAATTCTGGACGGGCTGTTGATTTTCAGCACTTTTGTGTTTAATGTCCATTCTGACTGACAGACTGAGATAGTTCAGACTAACAGTTAATCCTTGTGTCATATGCAAAATTTCACAAAGAAACAGATAGGACTTGAGATTTTTTGTTTAGCTATGATCCATTATAGTTGTTGTGCTTGTTTCCAAACCCTGGTTTGCTGTTTCAACTCATTCTTCATTTGCTGTTCTCGAAATTTCTCTTACATAGTAACTTTTATTTTGCAAGGAAAGATACCTACTAACCAGCAACAATGAAAGATATGGGCAATTTGAATTCTGCAATGTTAATATGAATAAAAGATGCTGTCCTGCTATTTATTAGAAATGTCACTGAGAAACAGTTTCCTTTTAATCGTTGAGAATTCATTCTTTTTAAATTTATGTTCATCAAATGGTGTATATCATAGCCCTTTCCTGTTTTGGAAATAGGGGACACACAATAGTGAATTTAGTTCCAGATTTGGATTAATACAGAAATCAGTGAAATTTTAGCATGCTTTCAAACGGCCTACCCTTGCCTTGTTGTAACAAAAGCTCGGGAGAAGTGGAAATGGTATTCATTTGAGTTTTTGTTCAAACAAACATCTCCTTATTTTCAATAATGTGATATTTACAGGGTTGTTCAATAATCTTTTATAACTTAATTATTAATAATCTGACATTGCATAGAATATTTCTAAACATACATTTGGAGACTTGAGAAAGTGCAATGGTCATTCGGAAATATTTCAAAGAGTGAAATTGCAATTTCAGGTCTTCGACATCATGGGTGAAATTTTCCCACCTCTGGTGTAGTGTGAGGAATGGTAAGAAAGGAGTGAAAAAAATGGTGAGAATGGAAAAAAATGAGGTTCTCAATGTTGAGAAAATTTTTAAAGATAGTGCCTGCATTAGAGAAAAGAATGAACTAGTTGCCTAAGACGGATAAAAGCTGGTGCAAATTATGAATGAGTTAGCATTGGTGGTAATGGGAGTCAGGCTTATTGGGTTGGTTACCCACTGAGATCTCTTGAATTCCCCCCAGAAATGGTTGTGCTCAACCACACTCAGCTCCACTATTTTCAGCTCGTAAGAAGTGGGGAGCTTGTTGTCCACCTCCCACTTGTTAGCGTTGGACTTTTTGGCAATTGTGATGATTCATGAGAAGGATAGGTCATAGTGTGTCTCCAGCGTGTGAGCTAAAGCACAGAGGACAGGAAGGGTTAGTCGGTTGGGAGGATGAAGCGGGTGAAAGCTGTTGAGTGGACATGATGCATGTAATAACAGAGCATTGACTCAGCAATCTGTATCTGGGTTGGTCTGGTCTGGTGATGTGGTCTCGCATGTGGCAGCCAGCAGAAGAAGGAGTGTCCTCCTTTCCATCACACATCTACCAACACCTCCATGTCCCTGGCTGTGAAGCAGGAGCTAGCTTGCCTTTCCTCTGGCTGATGGTGAAAATGGTTAAGCACCACAGTGTGGGGGGCAGCTGTGTCTGAAGTGGTGGGCAGCTCATCTTTATATAAGGTGCCAGAGGCAGGAAAGATGAAAAATTGTGAAAGTGGGAAGCATTTCCAGCTGTCTGGCTGCACAGCTCCCCCCGCCACCCCCACCCACCAGAAAGGTGCTTACGAGCCCGGCTGCATAACTAATAAGGCGAAGAGTGGAAGAAAAATTTCAGCAAATCATGGTGGATCGAGAATCTCACTCAACAAAACACTTTAACTGAAAATGGGAAAATTCCACCCTATATATTGAAAAAGGACATTAATTTATGTACTTTCAATGAGCAAATCAAAGATTTAGAAAGATGATTACCATTTGAAATATCATTTACAAAATTTTAATCATTTTAAATTGACAGTGAGCATCAGCTTATGAGTTAATAAGAACAACTTTAAAAGAAATTTTTCACAGAATGACAGTCATGTGGAATAGATTCCCAATATAAATATCTGAATGAACGTTAAGTTCTGAATGTGACTGACTGAGTTTTAAAACGTTGGTTACAGAGGGAGATGGTTAAGTCTTGTGGAGATAGCTAATTCGTATGTTGATCATGATGGCCCCTCAGCTGCTGGAACTATGGAAAAGACCAAATGAGGAAGGAATCAAGATGAATGTTATCTAATGATTGTACAAGGTTAGATCATCATTCCAGAGTTTCCTGCAACATGTGGTGCATGGAGAAACTTTGTACAATGCTTTTTGGGGAATTCAGAATGAGCTGTTCATAGTCTTAAAGGGCTGAATGACTTATTTTCCTATTTTCCTATTCCTAATTGTAGTAATTGGATTTTTCTTCCAAGGTACATGTTTAATAATACGCCCAACAAGTTTCTTGAAACATTTTCTCTTCAATGTATTGTTGGTATTTACTAATGTCATAAGTCCTTCTGGAGTAGGAGAAGGAAGGACATAATCTTCCCTATATTCACAATGAACAAGAATTTTCAGCTGTTTGAAACTTTGGCTGTAGATACATCTTCTTGTTAGACTTGCTAGTGTGTACAAAATGGTTATTTATGCAATAGATCAAACACAGGTATGTGGTTTAACAAATAGCAATAAATAATGAATGACATGCCTGAAGATTTAAAAAAACCAGTGAGATTTCATTGTCATTTTATTTGTAGAACAAATTTGCATTGGAAATTGCTTAAAATATTTATGCCAGTGTGTATCAAATCATTGCATAAAATTTATTCCTACTGAATAAAATAGTACTGACTATATTATGATTTATGCATTTACTTACGTTGTAAAGGCTGGATTATACTTTGCTCCGAGATAGTAGGAATAAAGGTTGAACATTCCAATCATGAATGCGACAAACACCATAATAAATATGACCATGAACTTGAAAATGTCTTTCACTGTCCTTCCAAGGGAAATCTGCAGTGGACCAAAGCTTTCATTTGCTGGTAGAATGTAAGCAATTCGGGAGAAACTTAACACAACAGCAATTGCATAAAGTCCTTCTGATATGATTTGTGGATCAGATGGAAGCCACTTGTTCCTAGCTGGGAGAAATTGAGGGAGAAAACACATATCTTCTGAGAAATAAACCTTGAGCTGATAAAGAAATAAAAATGTCAGTGAAACAAAGATATGACATTGTACACAGTATCTTCCATTCCCATTTTTCTTATTATTTTCATGGAATGTGGGGTTGCTGGCAAGGCCAGCATTTGTTCTCCATTCAGAATTGCCCTTGAATTGAGTGACTTGCTAGGCCATCTCAGAGGGCAGTTAAGAGTCAATCACACTGAGATGGGTTTGGGGCTAATGCAGATCAGAATGGCAAATTTCCTTTCCTAATGGAGATTAGTGAACATGATGAGTTTTTACAGCTTTTGATGGTAATTGTCATGATCATCATTACTGAAACTAGATTTATTAAATTAACTTAAATTCCACAAGCTGCTCTGGTGGGAATTACATCCATATCCCCAGAGCATTAGCCTCACCTTTGATTACTACCTTAGTGACATTCCTTCCAGGCCAACATCTCCCAAATTAATGTGGAAACCGTTATTGTCAATATAAAACTGTTTCTGAATACATTTCTTTTTATATTAAACCAAAATTGTTACCACTCCCGTACATCTCAGTTGTCCTCGTTTTTCAAGGACCGTAACTTCCCCTCCTCGGTAGTCGAGAACGCCCTCAACCGTGTCTCCCACATCTCCCGCACCTCATCCCTCACACCCCGTCCACGCAATAAGAACCAAAAAAGAATCCCCCTCGTCCTCGTGTACCACCCCACCAACCTCCGGATCCAACGCATCATCCTCCGACACTTCCGCCATCTGCAATCCGACCCCACCACCAAAGACATCTTTCCCTCCCCACCCTTATCTGCTTTCCAGAAGGACAACTCTCTCCGTGACTCCCTTGTCCGCTCCACACTCCCCTCCAGCTCCACCACACCCGGCACTTTTCCCTGCAACCGCAGGAAGTGCTACACCTGCCCCCATACCTCCTCCCTCACCCCCATCCCAGGCCCCAAGAAGACTTTCCACATCAAGCAGATGTGCACCTGCACATCTGCCAATGTGGTATACTGCATCCGCTGTACCCGGTGTGGCTTCCTCTACATTGGGGAAACCAAGCGGAGACTCGGGGACCGCTTTGCAGAACACCTACGCTCGGTTCGCAATAAACAACTGCACCTCCCAGTCGCGAACCATTTCAACTCCCCCTCCCATTCCTCAGACGACATGTCCATCCTGGGCCTCCTGCAGTGCCACAACGATGCCACCCGAAGGTTGCAGGAACAGCAACTCATATTCCGCTTGGGAACCCTGCAGCCCAATGGTATCAAT